CTCAGCCAACAGGATGTATTCATTGGGTCAGGGAAGTTCTAGTTCTTTAATATTTGCCCTATTTTCTAAAGGCATAGTTGCCATGAAGCAGATAAATAGCTAATTTTTTCAAGTCACTCTATGAGTTACCGCATTTACATTACAGGTACAGCTATTCAGAAGGAAATGTGAGGCTTTTCAGTTTAGCTACTGTGGGGATTTCTTTCCCTAGAAAAAATTTCTTTACCCTAGGAAAAAGACATCGTCCTATAGGCTCTACAATGGATATGAGGAGGTTGGGCTTGGAAATTCTTAGGTATCTCTTTTTTCACTGCTTCCTCAACTATGAACTAGGCTCAGTCTGAGAGACAGAAAGAAGCCAGCTTTTTATTCTTCTTCCTGGTACATAATAGCCATAATTGGCTATTTGGAATAATGTTATACTAGACTAATGTCTATTATAGGCCCAAGTTATCACATCATCAATATGTTTTGAACTATGCTGCTATACAAAACAGAGGATTGAACAGAATTAATTATCTATTTTAATTGGGAGAAAATGCTGATGTTCTAGTTTTATTCTAATGTAAGTTTTAGAAAATAATTTCTTGGGGCAGCTAGGTAGCATAGTGGATAGAGTACCAGCCCTGGAGTCGGGAGGACCTGAGTTCAAATCTGGCCTCAGACACATAACACTTACTAGCTGTGTGACCCTGGGCAAGTCACTTAACCCCACTGCCTAACGCCCCCCCCCCAAAGAAAATAATTTCTTTATGGTTTAATATACTGCTAGGGACGTTAAAAACTTTGATCTGGCTGATCACAAAACTAAACTCTATTCATGCATGTTCAGTCTTCATAACTTACTGCTCCTGTAAGCATAGTTACTGACTTAACAACTTTAAAAATTAAGGAGCATGGACAGGCATTCAATATTTGCTGAATGAATCAACCTTGCAGTCATGCCCAGGTCCCATTATTTAAATGCTGGTAACTAGTGTTCGTTTTAAGTCTGTATCTGCATAAGTCTATACTCTTACATTGTGGGCTTTCAAAACTAAGGCTCCATTACAAGTAAACAAGATTATTCTATAGTGACAAGGCGTCAATTCTCTTTGAAACAGAAAAAAATGTGATGCAATTCAACTAAAATGATCTCTCTGACAGTAAGACCCAAGACAGATGTAGCTGGAGAAGATGAGAGGGTCACATTATTAGCTGATATGTTTCATAGGACAGTGCTGTATGTATACATGACTATACTCATACCAAGATGACTTCCACAAACCATTAAGAACTGAAAGTATATTCAGTGATCTACTCACAAACACGCACCCATTTACTCACAATTACTGATATGTACATATATAGCCTACAGTGTACATTTAAACCAACAAAAATGCCAAATGCACACAGATTATACACAAACTTGACCCTACATATTCACAGAGCTTTACATTTAGATAGCTGCTTGTTAAGAGAGAAAATATATGCTCCTGAAAAGTGGATTGTAAAGCAAATTTCTATATAGAGAGCCCTATCGTACCCATCACTTTCCAAAAAGCACACACAAAAACCTATACAAAAACACTCCTCTGATGTGTTGGTATCTTTGTGTACCAGTAACAACTGTTCCTTTTCCCACCTTTTCACCCAACCCAAGGGTTGGGTCATCTAAACATCACGTCTCCTATTAATGTCAAGCTTTGCGTCCACTTCATGGCAGCAGTTACTGCTGCTCTGCACCCTTTCAAGTTGTTTGTCTCTTAAGCAAGAGCAGCACTATCCCTGGATTAGTGTAATCATTCAAAGATGAGTCACTTGGATTCAGAGGGTATTAAGTGAATGAAATCATTTAGATGGACATTGATAATGGAGTCAAAGCTTGGCCTGGAGGCTACCTGGACCAGGGAAATTTGTACTTGATACATGGTACCAAAATGGTACCACATTTTCATTTACCCAGGGTCATGTTATTAGCTAACTAGGCAATCAACTCCTTATCTATTTAGGGTGCCAAAAATACCAACAGCAAATGAACTGGTGACTGCATCCATTTACTTTAAGACTCAAGTGTGAATTCATAATACTAATGTTTTGCTATATGACAAAAAGAAGTGGACTAGCACGGCCATTTCAACTTATTCTACACACAAATACTTTATATGTACTTCAAATAAAAATATTTTCAAGGTCATCTTCATTTAAAAATTTCTCTCCTCACTCCTCATCTCTTCGAGAGAGGACCAATTAAAGTTTCGAGAGCCAACCAATTTAAAACTTCTATTTTTTAGACATTAGATAGTCTGATGAGATATGAACACTTGTCCCCACTCCCTAAATATGGTAATGAAGTTTTCATTAGTGTATTTTGGTAGAGGAGAATTTTCTAATTGAGTAAACTTCATGATTTTCTTTAATTTTCATTTTATTTTCTAGTGCATGACATTTTACTTAAAAGTATGTAAATATTATGCTGTTCACTGATTGTGAAATGTTTAAGAAATGTGTAACACATCACATATATTTGCTATCTTTATTAAAAGTTTTTATTCATTTAAATCTACTGTTACTCAAAGGAATAGATATGGCAATATTTGCATTTCACCTAGAACATGAATTTGTTTTTTTTTTTAATGAGTACCCTCTCAATAAACAAAAGGTTCAAAAATGCAAAAATAATGGCAAATCTTGGGTTAAGAAGTTTTTCTTTGTGTCTAGAGCTATAATATTGAGGATTTGCTGAATATTTACTTACAGAATATTTAGTGTTGAAAAGGACCACAAAGTCATTAAAACTAACCTCTAACTCAATGTAGTAACCCCTAATTATTATTATGACACAAGGCAACTCATTCCTTTTTAGATGGCTATAATTGCTATAAAATTCCTTCTAAATCTGCATTCCTATATCTTCCAACCCTAGGTTCTAGTTTGTTCTTCTGGAAGAAGAGAAAAAAATAACTAAAATTTGTCTTCTACATGACACTGTGTCTTTGAATATGGCTATCATACCCCTTCCAAACTATTCTTCTAGTTTGTTCAGGACTAGTTCTTTAAACATTTCTTACAGAACACTGTTTCAGATCACTCATCATCCTGGTTACCTTTCATTGGATGTCAACAGCTCCCTTAAAATGTGGCACCTAGAACTAAAGATAACATTCTAGATGTGGTCTTACCAGTGTTGAAAACATTAAGATTATGACCCCCCCTTGAATTGGAGACTATACTTAATGTACTTTAATACTATATTACACATTTGCTTCTCTCTCTCTCTCTCTCTCTTTTTTTTTTTGGTGAGGCAATTGGGGTTAAGTAACTTGCCCAAGGTCACACAGGCAGTAAGTACAGCCCTGGAGTCAGGATGACCTGAGTTCAAATCCAGTCTCAGACCAGACACTTGACACTTGCTAGCTGTGTGATCCTAGGCAAATCATTAACCCCAACTGCCTTGTCAAAAAACAAACAAAAAAACCAAACCAAAACCAAAAAAACTTCCCAGATCTTTTTTACATGAACTGCTATCAAGCAAGGTCTCCCCCACCTTGTACTTGCACAGCTGATTTTCTGAATTGAATATAAAACTTTATGTATTTTTCTAGGTTCTTTTCATGTATGAGCTATATTTTGGGAGTAGGCTGAACAACTGGTAAACTGAATTATTAATTTAGAAGCCACTTAACACAAAGAATAAGTAATTTTCTAGATGGCTCCTTGGTGATCTGACAGAATTAGTATGACTGAAATACTCAAAATACTTAACCAGCTCCTAGGATGTAGTTGGTGAACCTTGCACTAATCATATCCCTAATTCTCCCCCTCACAAAATAGTAAACACATTCTTTGATCCTCTTTTCTTTCTTTGTCTCTCTCCATCCCTCCCTCTCTTCCTTTTTACCTCCCTCTAACCCACTCGGCATCTCTTCCTCACTCCCTTCTGCCATGCTGTTGCTCTTCCGTTACGTGACTATCATTGTAAGGTGCTGTGTTTTTTGTTTGTCTTTCTCCATTAGTCTATTTTTATACCCTGTCTATCCCATCAGTACCTCCCTTCTTGACCTCCATTCCATCTTTGGTCAATCTAAGCTTTACATCAATCAACACATATTCACTGAATGTAAGACACTTTGCTATTCAGTACAAGAATCAAAAGAAACATCACTATATAGGTACTAGACAGTGTATGGTTCTAGGCATCTTTGAGAGGTGAAGGCAATCTGATGGACTTAAAGACAATTTTTGCGAGAATACTCAGGTACATATAAGGTGCCTTTCACATAACTCCAATACTGGGAACAGACTTATAGGTACAGAGGCAAGAGATCTCATAACCTGCATAACTTCAAAAGGGCTGCTGACAATCCTAACCCTCACATCAATTAATCAGACTGAAGAAATGATAAATGGTAAGTACTCACTTATAAATCTGAGTCTTGAGGCTAACCTAAAGTTATTGTTTTAACTAAAAACAAGAAAAGTCTCTGTATCTCTGGGAGAGTATTATTTGTTTCACTTAGTTTCAGGTAACTATTATTGGAAAAATAACATACTAATACTTCTGAGAATCATGGACTTTATTACTTCTCTGTAACTTTTGTCCAAGTAGACTATTCAATGATACCTGTTAAAAATTTCCAGAAGTTTCTGTTTTCTAATCTTTCATCAGCTACCATTATGCTTCCAGATGGCAAACTGAACATTATACCTTGACACTTTTTAAGCAATATATACACTTTTTATCAAAATTAAGCAACTCCTTTGAAAGACCCTAGGCAAGTCAACTTCCTCTTTGGTCCTCAGTTTCTTCATCTATAGAATCAGATGTTCTCAAAGATTGCTTCCAGATCTGAAGTTCTATCATTCTATTAGTTTAACCAATAAAGGACTCAACAGGATGCTTACATACTTAATATTCCAGTTCTTTCTAGCTTTTACTAAATTGAGAAGTACTTCTTGAATTTAGAGACTGGTCTTTTATAGTATGTGATTTCCTGGACAGTCTTAGTTTATAAAGTTACCTTGAGTGGTGAAGTTGAAGAGTGCAGGTGTATCTCGCCCATTGGGTAATTTGACATTTGGGTCCCGTAATTCATCAAAAAATGAATGTGCACAAGCTTCCAGGGGTGTCAGTCGGGCAGTCGGGGTATATTCCAGCAGACGGCTACATAATGCAATTGCCTCAGGTGGAGTTCGGGGTCGGAAGACCTACATAACAAAAAAGATAGATTGATTTGTTTTTCATTATAACAGCTGAGCAATTAACCCTCTGAGTAATAAGTTAAGAACTCCCACTAATTACACAAACATAATTGCATTTGGAGAGGGAGCCTTCTAAAATTTAAAGGGTTAACTGCACATGGTTCACCACACTGGGGTGAGGATGAATAGTCAGTGTGAAAGACTGTATGAGGAAACTCAGAGAAACCACTGGGAAAGAAGGTAAAAATGTCTAATAATGCTGATGATACAGTAGAGCAATCAATCATGCATACAGAAATGATATATATGTAGATGGGATAAACACTGAAGTTCAGAGAAAGAGGCAAAATGAAGAAAAATTCAAGATGATGAAAATTAAAAGTTCTTGACTTTTTGTGACAGTGGGCAGGAGGATGCTTCTTTTGAATGATTTTGAGCAGAAAAACCGTTGATATGGACAGCACTGTTCAAGTTTGGCAGTCAATGTCTTAGAGAAAACAGAAAGTTGTTTATCCCAAGCCTGCAAAATGTTAATGATTTAGTCTTTCCTATTTAAAAAAATAGATTGTAAGTTATCTGGTGGAATTTTTAGATACTTAGATTTTGAGGAAACTATATTATTTTCCTAAACAGTTGTCACCCATGGTCATTTATACAGATCATCCTTCTCTGAAGTTTCCTCTATGCACAAAGTGGGAGACTTTTCCTCCCTATTTGGGGCCACTGACATAAAAAAAAGTGAACTGAAGGCCACATTTCTAATTCTGTAAGCACATAAGAGACAATACTTCAGTTTTCTATCTTTACTGATTACAGGGGAGAGGGAAAAGTAGAGTGAACACAAGGAGGAAAGATGGAATGGAGGTCAGGAAGGGAGGTACTGATGGATAGACAGGGTATAAAAGCAGACTAATGGAGAAAGACAGACAAAAAACACAGCAACTAACAAGGACAGTCACATAAGAGCATGGCAGAAGGGAGTGAGGAAGGGATGCCGAGTGAGTTAGAGGGAGGTAAAAAGGAAGAGAGGGAGGGATGGAGAGAGACAGATAAAAAGAGAGACAGAGACAGTCAGGTAAAGGGTCAAACAGAAAGACAGACACAGACACTCAAAGGAGAAGAACACAGAAGGAAAAAGCATTTATGGAATGAGACAAGGTAAGAGGAAACCAGGGAACACTAAATTGTTTTCTGAAACCCTAGTATTATTCACTGGATATGGGCATCAGAGCACATTATCACTACAGTACTCAGAATTTCAAGAAATAGTTTGGAATAGTCCTTTATACATGTTTGGAAAACAACTTTTCTGCTTTTATTTTCAAATATCAAAATACGTATTTGAAATAAAGGTTTGTTTACTCATGAAATTCTAAAAAAAGTTTTATAATTAAAGGCAGTATGGTATTGTGGATAGAGTCGCTAGGCCTGGAGTCAGTAAGACCTGAATTTGAATACTGTCTCAAACACTTAATAGCTGTATGACCCTGGAGCAGTGACTTAACCTCTTTCTACCTCAGTTTCCTCATTTGTAAAATAGGGATAATAATAGCACCTAACACAATATCAAGTGAGAATAATGTTTGTAAAGTGTTTTGTCAACCTTAAAGCACTACATAATGCAATCTGTCATGATCATTACTTTAAAAGGAATCACTTAGATTTAAAGAATTCATTTTGGAATCTCAAGAGTGTTGGTTAACTTATTAGCTATGCTTGAAAGTCCTTTTCTTAAGATAGCCTTTTAGTCCTTTCCATAATGTTTTTATTTGAGAGATATAGGGCTTAGAACTACCTGTTCCATAAGTATCTCAGAGTAACGATCTGAAACCAGCATTTATTTCATGTTCTGAGCCGGACCCTCTTTTCTCTTATGCCTATTTCTGAACCACATCTACCCCTCACACCCCAAATAATAATAACAAATCTTGATATTTTTGGCTTAGTTGGATCCAAATGGGAGATGGGGAGTAACATAAAGGTATAAATCTAAAACCAAATCAAACCAAAACAAATAAACAAACAAACAAACAAACAAAAAAAAACCTTACAGGAACAGATTGAGCACTTCCACAGCTTTTCAATGACTATTTTCAAACCTAAAAGTCTTTTCTGAATGGGGAGGCCACAGGAAGGACACATAGAGCAAATGTGCTATAGGTACCCCAGCTGTGACCAGAACATCACCTCTTGGTACTTGTGCCCAACAACTGCTGAAATAAGTCATTGCTTAGAGGTTTCCCACCTTTCTTTATCACCTAATTTCCCCCTCAGTATCACATGAAAGACAAAGTTGAACAGTTGTCTTTAATGCTCCTCCCTGAAGACAATTTCCATTTACTTGACAGTATATGGAATTACATTGCCAGCATTTTTCAATAAACATGAGCTAATCCAAAATGCTTTTGCACCAATATGGGAGCACATAAGCCACTCAGCATCACCAAAAATAGAAATAAATACCTCCTGCTAACATTCAAAGTGCAGGGTAGCTGGGCAGTAAGTACATTTTAAATGGAGAAATTTCATGTTAACATCAACGAAGATTATCTGTCAAAACCAACAATAAATCAGTATTGTAAATTTCTCTCTTAAAAATAAAAACCCCAAACCAAAACCTCTTTGGTGTCTTGTTGGCTACAAGTACCCATCCATGTTGGTACTAAGACATTGTATATTAGCCCATTTTGTCATGGAATCCTGACTCATGGAGTCAAAGAGTTAAAACAACAAAGAATAATATCCATTCCGATAACAAACGTTAAGACAGACTTAACCTGCTATTACAAAGTTATCCACTGTTACTTTAAACCCTTTGAGTGACCCATGATGAGAAAAGCTTTGGTTGGCACTCTGTGGATAAACTTTAACCTGAAGATTATGTGGGGATCATTTGTGTTGGGTCAAACCCAATGCCTCCAGAGTTCGGATTTCTGACCACAATACAGGGTGTAGTAGCAAGTGACTTCCAAGTTACAGCCCAAACAGGAACATTGCTCTTCTGGGTTGTTACCTTTGTGTCTAAAGAAAAGGAGACCGACAGAACTACTGAAATTTGGCTTTTACCAAAGGAGTTTCTGTCTCTGCTGCTTCCTCAATTCCTTAAATTGTTCTTAAACTGTTTAACGTCCAGTTCCACAATTAATCAACAACTTTTTTTTTATTTAATAAAGGAAATTTAAAGAAAAAAACCACTCTAATTGTTAAACCTGTCTGGAACTATAATGAATTATTGAGATCAGTGATGAAGACAAGATATAACATACCTAAACAAAAACCTTTCTATAGAGTGATTTAAAAACTGAAATCACAGATGCCTCAGTATAATTTTTATTATATTTCAAGAATGAAATATGTATTTATTTGCAGCATGAATCTCTAACCTTTCAAAATTCCTTTCCCCCAGTTTTATAGGTCAGCCCTAATAATTTGAAAAAAAAAATTAAATACATACCCGAACTCCTGAGGTGAAATGTCCTGTTCCTGATGAGTCCTAAAGATGATAATGCAGTGAAATAATACAAACAGGGGGAGTCAATCCAAAAGAGAATAGTCCAGCAAGGAAAAATATATCCAATGTTATAAGAAATCCATGGTGTGGGGGACATAGAAAATGTTTATACAGTTATAAACTTTAAACATCAGTCTCCATAGTAGCAAGTCCAAGTTTTGAAAATTATTTCGCCACAAGTGTAGGTAAAAAAATTGATTGCGCAATGGTGAGGCATAGTAAAGAAACATCATAATTTTACTTTATTATGTTCCAATGCCAGTGCATTTATTAAAAAAATACAAAACCAAAAAAAGTTAAATCAAAATTAAATCTAGAAGTAAAGGGGTAATCAAGTTCCCAAAGTAAAGTATTTGGTAATTCTCTTGTCCCGGATTCATTGTCCACAGACATGGGGGGAATGGGGAGAAGGGAGGGCCAGATTAGCCTGCTTTAAACGTGTTAAGTCCCTATGCACATATTTTGTTTTTCTCCATAAATGTGTCCAAGGGACACAGTATGAAAAAATTCTAAATTAGTGTTCAGAAGAAAATAAAAATATTTGGTCTGTATTATTATTTGAGTTTTCAAGCCAGATAGTTTATAAATTTGTGTGAGCTAAGAACGGATCAGGCCACCGCGGATTATTCTCCATTTTGGATTGACTTCCCTTCTAATGGATGTTTATTTTTGCTGACGTTCTTTCTCATCTCTTTAGGACTCTTCACGAAATTGACATATATCACCTTGGGAGTGCGGGTATGGACTTAATTTTTCTATTGTGGGCTTTTCCCCCTCATACCCTTGCACCCATTACTTAAGAAAAGAAAAACTTAAGAACATTCTTTCCTTTTGGAATAACTCACTAAAAAAATCCTGACCCTTTTAGCACTACCAATTCAACACAGTTCCACCTATAATTCTACCCAATTCACCCACCAAAAGCTAAACAAAAGATATACAATAAACAGTAATATTAAGGGACAGTCACAGTTATGGGTGACAAGCACAGTAATGTACACCAACACCTAGTACAACTGAGCAAAAAAAAGTGACAGAGGTAGTGGTGTCGGTTATAAGGCATAAGAATAAAAGATGGTACAACTCACCAGTAGCTGTGAACTCCCTTGACTAGTGTAGAATAATTTAACATTCTTTTAGGATAGTTTCTAGTGGGGGAATTAAATATTTTTAATAAAAATAAATAATCCGCGGATTACTTTTAGTCTGCAGACTAAAATTTAGCATACGGATTAAAATCCGGCCCATCAGAATAAAAATCTCTCAATCTAAAACACATCCAGGAGGACAAAACATGAAATCAAACCAAAAGAACTGAGTGCACAAAAGTAAGACTCAACTGGGCAGACTAACATTTAGTGCGCAGACTAAATATGGCCAGCCAAATGTGCAGCAAGGCCATGAAAATCCCAAAACACCCCTGCAAAAACAAAAGCAAAAATAAATAAGTAAAATAAAAAAGGCCGAAAAGAAAGTAGGAAAAAGGAAAACAAAA